ATAAGTCTATTCATAGAATAGAAAGTAAAATAAAAAACATACATACATTATTCATGCACCATCATCTCATATAACATACATTTCATGATCCAATGTTAAAGGTGCTCATGGGTTAAAAAATTATTTTATTGGACCTGACTAAAGTGAACCAGAAAGAGGAAATAAATCTTTTGCTCAGATTGATATACCTATTTGTGATTTTCGTTTTATATGGAGACCCCAGCTGACCAAAACAACCCCAACCACTCCACCATTTCTCAAGATCGAGAGGAAATTGAGGTCATAGATAAAAGAATCAGAGCCATTGAAGAAGCCAACTCATATGGTTTGAAGGACATCAATGACATGTGCTTAGTCTCGGATTTGGTTGTACCACCAAGGTTCAAATTACCAGACTTTGACAAGTATCAAGGGATGTCTTGTCCTAAAGACCACCTGACTATGTATACTAGAAAGATGACTCCCTATATCAGAGATGACAAGTTGTTGATCCATTTCTTTCAAGAAAGCCTAACTGGAGCTGCCACCACTTGGTACTTGCGACTTGAACGTTCACAAATTCAGTGTTTCAAGGACTTATGTGATGCCTTTGTCAAGCAATATGATTACAACATTGATATAGCTCCTAATAGGACACAACTAAAAACTATGATAAGAGAGAAGATGAAACTTTCACTAAGTATGTCCAAAGATGGGTAGAAATGGCCGCTCAAGTGAAGCCCAAGCTATCTAATGAAGATAGTGTGTCGATGTTCATAGACACTCTCCACCCACCATTCTATGGCATGATGTTGGGATGTGCATCTATGGGATTTCGTCAATTGATGACCATTGGGGAAAAAATAGAAAGTCGCTTGAGAAGTGGTAAATGTCTTAAGGATCCAACTCAAAACATAACCCGAGATTACGCTGCAGATGAAAAGATGGGAGGTGATACATCATTCATTGAAACTTTAAACCAACATCAATCGTATCATCATCCCCAACAACATTATCCTACTACTCACAGTCAAGAAGGAATATCTCGAAAGCGGAAGAGAAAAAGTCATTATGATGCAATCCCCATGTCTTGCTCTGAGTTGCTCCCACAACTTGTTCAGAGGGATTTACTAACTATCCTTCCCTTTAAGGAGGTGATGCCTCCATATCCAAATGGCTTCAACCCAAATGCTTGTTGTATGTATCATGGAGGGACAGTAGGACATCTGACAGAGGATTGCAATCAATTAAAAGGCAAGGTGCGAGAACTGATTCGTGAAGGGTTGGTCAAGTTTCAAGGAAGTGTTTTGATTTAAGAAATGCACGATGCAAAATCTGCTCATGAGCAACACACCCCACGAAAATGTTATTTCTCAAATTATATAGTAATGTACCCTCTTAGTTCCACCTAGGGCTTTAGGATTGCAAAATAAAAGGTCTTTTGTTTCATTCTTATGAATAAGATTATTTCATATTACATGTTTTTTTTACAAGTATATACTAGCACATTGATCATGCAAATTTAACACATCATATTCTATCTCCATAAACTATATTCACTCAAAAAAAATCCATGCATTAAAGTGAGATACTAAAATTTTAAAAAAATAATAAAAAATAAAAAAGGGAGGATGATGCAAACACAATTCCAAAGTGGTGTGGATCCTTAGGTAGATTTTTCTAATGATACAAGGCGTCCTTGGTAATTCCCAAACACTAAGAAGATATCCATAGTCACCCCAATTGAGGCATAGACATAATGAAGGGAGACTTCTTGTGATTGACCCATAAAACATCAATATCCCGGGGATGGTAGTTTTTTTCATGTGTTTTCCTTGACATTCAATTACTAGGAAATAAATAAATTCTTCAAACATCATTCATCTAATCTGGCTCGAAGGATAATGAATCCAAATCAAGTCAAATAAAATTGTTCGTTGGTTAAAGCGAAAAGTCCGCTGAGAATCCTAAATATCTCAGGCAAAAGTTAGGGCAGAAGAAATGCGTTGTCAAAAAACGACAAGTTAAATTTTCAGATCCTATCGGACCAAGTTATAACCTTAACCTATTACATTACAAAAACCAAATGAAATCCTAGTAATTGAATGTCACGTCAGAAAACTATTGAAAAAAATAAGGTCACATGATATAGGAGATAGGAGAAAAGAGAAATGGGCATGGGAAACACATATTTGAGCCTTATATCTTTTCTTGGAAACCACTAGCCAGACCACAATACAAGCATAAAAAGACCTTGTTGAGGATCAATTTACTTACATATTCACACCACATAAAAAATCGCTGACTCCACTAAAATGAATTTTTGATCTAAAATAAATATCTCACATTAATGCATGAAATACACTGACTCTTAAAAAAAAAACATCATCATAATCATCACATCAATGCTCAAACCATAAATACAACTTCAAATTCATATTCAGCTCTCCCATCACCACTCATAACTCAAACACTAGCCAAGTTTGCATGATCATTGTTTTAGTATTTCCTTTTAAAGATTGGTGCATGAAATAAAGAGCAATAAATCAAAGGAGAAGTAGTCACCCATACTGGGGCAATTTTTGGAATGGTTCTAGCGCAAGTTCTCTTGAATTAAAGTCTATCAAAACAACTTGAATAGAAGGATAACCTCCAACATCTCACACTGGGGCAGTTTTTGGGGTGGGTCCCATTTTCTCTAATTGAACGGTTTCATGAAGCCTAAAACTAGGTCAAGTATACATAAGGGTGTTAAAAATTCAAGAAAACAACAAAAACAGAACAAAACAAAAATAGTGCTAGGTTGAAAACCCACAAGGGTGACCTAGGAAAAGGAGAGCGGTACTAAGTCGAAAACCTGAAAAGGCGATTTAGTATCACTACAAAAAGAGAGAATTCCTGACAGATACCTACATTAGGTATTCTGGGCAAAAATTAGGGAAAACAAATGAACACCCTTATGTAAATTTCCATTAAACTTTAAACAAGTTGGGGCAACAAAATTATTTCATCCGAAGGAAAACAAGCAATCACATTTCCATTCTCCGAGGTTGAAGTTTCAAGCAACTTATATTGGGGCATTATTATCAAGACTAGTGGTTTTTCTCAATACAACATTGGGGCAATAAATCATCAGCGAGTTATCATTGTCAAAAATGGGTTCACATGTTAGTCAAGCTCAACAAATTCATATCTAAAAGACAATTCATGAGCGCACTAGAACATTAATGCATAATTATCACATTTCATTACATTCACAACTCATGCATGACATCATGACATACATCACACATAAATACTCTCAAACACTCATTAATTACTTTACATTCATCAAAATTTAAGCTTTTCGGGTCCTGCACCTCGACATGAAACTTAACTTTCCGGGTTCTGCACCTCGACATGAAACTTAACTTTCCGGGTTCTGCACCTCGACATGAAACTTAACTTTTCGGGTCCCATACCTCGACGTGAAACTAAACTTTCCGGGTCCTCAACCTCGACGTGAAACCTAACTTTCTGCGTCCTGTACCTCGACGTGATATTCAAACTATTCGGGTCATGTACCTCGATATGAAATCCAAGCTTTTCAGGTCCTGTACCTCGATGTGAAATCTAAAACTTTTCCACCCCAAGTTCCGGCAGTACACCGACCTGCGTTCTTGGTCTAACTTTTTTATGTATCCAAATTCTGGCAGTACACCGACCTGCGTCTTTGGCTCTGCATCTTCCACCCCAAGTTCCGGTAGTACACCGACCTGCGTTCTTGGTTTAAATATTTATCTACCCAAGTTTCGGCAGTACTCCGACCTGCGTTCTTGGTATAACTTTTTTATGTATCCAAATTCCTGCAGTACACCGACCTGCGTCTTTGGCTCTACATCTTCCACCCCAAGTTCCGGCAGTACACCGACCTGCGTTCTTGGTATAACTTTTTTATGTATCCAAATTCCGGCGGTACACCGACCTGCGTCTTTGGATCTACATCTTCCACCCCAAGTTCCGGCAGTACACCTACCTGCGTTCTTGGTTTAACTTGTTATGTATCCAAATTCTGGTAGTACACCGATCTGTGTCTTTGGCTCTACCTTTTCCACCCAAAGTCCCGACACCATATCATAAGATGATTCGGTCACTCCAACCCATCATCACACTTCTCGAAAATAAACTCAAATTATACTAAAGACAACTCAGGTTACAAATGGATACGCACTCCCGGGTGGGATGAAGTCGTCAGGTAAGTTTGTATGGGCCTTAAAAAATGACATTCATTTCTTTACTAGTTACTTATCTTGATATCCAACAGGCCATCAGTTTGCTTGCTATCAAGTAAGCACCAAGTAAAGAGGGGCAGCTGTGAATACCATTTTTTAAGCCCATAAAAGAGGTCCAACATTATTTATGTTCAATCTCTTTTACTTTTGCTTTTACTGTATAGATATTTATTTATTAAGATATTTCGAAATAACATAAAAAATAATAATAAATGTTTAAACATAAAATAAATTAAAAAAATATATAAAGAAGAAAAAACTGATTCTTAATCAGTTGAAGATGAGGAAATGATCCCACTTTTTTAGGAGAAAAAGCTGAGTTGATGAGGCCAGATTTTAGGCTATTGGGGTGGTTATCCCTACTTCTATGGGATAGAGGATAGCAAGTCTATTCCCATAAAAAGGCAACAGAATACACAAAAAATAACATACACACTGAAATACAGAAGATACGGCAGAGGAGGAATACACAAAAGGGAGAGGAACGTGCAATTTCCAGAAAGAAAATATAGGAGGCACATTCACTTATACATCCAGCAAAGGCACAAGGTTAGTATACAATTTCATAATCTTTAGCATCCTATGCTATTTACATCATTAGGAACTCTTGTAATTGCATACATACAACAACTAATTAAATTCATGTTATCACAATTTATGCTATTACCTATTGGATAATCTAAACTACATATAAAACAAATTGGTAGAAATAGTATCATGATCATTTGATTACACGAACTTTTATGCCATGTCTTCATCGTAGTTTTCAAGTCCATTGCTTTTTGCATATTCACTGTATAAACAAACAACAACAAAAATACATTATATTAACTGCATGAACAACAACAACAAAAAAGAACAATACATATGACATTCATTTTATTCACTGCTGCAACAAAAAAGCAATATATATGACAGTCACCTTCATTGTTGAGTTTTTTTACATAACATATTAATGAAACGGCTTTAACATCATTTCAAGTAAAATCCATCATAATAATAAGCAAACCAAAATCTGTTGGTTTAATCATCACCTTGTAAATAACTACAAACATAATTTGTTAGAATTTAGGAGATGATGAATGATGAACCGAAGGGTTTTGAACCCATATACTGCCGAATCCGCATCACCTGCGAATTTGAGGTCTCAAGCCACCACTGTGGCTCACCTGGCCGCGTCCCACCGTGCCCAACGGTTGTCGTCGACATTGCAATAGTGATTGGGGAGTCTTTCCCGTGTGACTTCCTAGCCGGCGACCCTCCTCACTCCATACCGAGATCGACGGCGGCTTGAGAGAAGAAGCTCTTTTCTCCCTATCTCCCCCAAATGCCAAAACCTAACAAATGAAATCCCTAAACCTAAACCCCTTTCCTATTCATCTCAGCTGGGTTACTTTAGTTATCTTGGGCCCTTAGGCCTGTTACTAATTTTAATTGTTATCTATGTCATTTATATTTGTCTCTTAATCTTTGATATAAAAAAAAGTATATAGTTTTGTAATAAATTTGCTATTAAAGCATATAGAAATTGTTAGGTACTGCCATATTTAGGTATTGGTAAAAGCCAAATCATTTCTATAATTAAAACTAAAATCACCCAAACCATTTTAAGAATTTAATATTAATGTTACGGTCTAGTCATATCTTACTTCGAGACGAGAACCGGTCGTGGTCACTTGTACTACTTCTGCTATTTATCGAAGTGAGAAATAATTAATAACCAATGTCAACTTTCATTAATAAAATTTCTCTTTAAAAATGTTTAAGCTATTTTAAAAATAAAGATATTTTTGGGATTCAATAGCGAGGTTACAACTCGTATTGCATCTTTCTTCTCATTTCGAGCCGAGAACCGGTCGCGGACACTTATACTGCTTCTGCTATTTATCGAAATGAGAAGAGGGTAAGCAGTCAATGTTGACTCGTCATCTATTAATCCCATTTCGATTAAATTTAAACTAATTTTTAGTAACTCTCGATCAAACCAATTTTTAATCAAACCAACAAACGGTTTTCTTGAAGAACTACGTAGTCTTGATTTCCCTATTGCACCTAGGGATACGTAGGAGCAAGATAAACTCTTGTCAGACACAAAATAAAAAATAAATATTTTGTTTTTATTCAATTTAATTTCAATAAAGTAAGGGTAAATTAAAAGCATGCAATTAGTTAAGGTACCGATTAATAACGGGCGGACGGGGTGCTAATACCTTCCCCATTCCGTAATTGACTCCCGAACTCATAACTCTAACATAAAGACCAATTTTATCCAATTTGGGCATAATTCGAGTTTTCCACGTTTTAACCGCAAAAGACGTGGTGGCGACTCCTCAAAAGGTCGCGTGGCCGAAAATCCGGGCGCGACACACGTGATGATTGTTGGGAAGTAAGTCTCACATCGCCCACCTCATTGTCTCGGGAATGATTTTAATACTTGTTGAAATGAAACCTTAACGTGGTATCAGAGCCAGAGTCCAACTTCTTTTCGGTTATCATGAGCCAAATGATGTCCTTTAGTTATGGGTCAAAGGTAACCCTTCGCCTGGTCCGGTAAGCTCATGTGAAGAGAGCATGTTGGGAAGTAAGTCTCACATCGCCTATCTTCATTGTCTCGGGAATGATTTAAATACCTGTTGGATTACTCATCTCATTGCCAATTGGTTTTGAGATGAAACATTAACAATGATTAAATCAATATTTTATTAACAAAATAATAACTTGCAAAATTTTGAGTTTGTTTTAAAGATTTAAGTACATGATCTTAATTCTCAACTATGAGTTGTTATTTAAGTTGATGCCTCTGGTGATAAATAATGTTAATATGTGGCATGACTAAAAAGCAGACATTGTATTACTATATATATTTGGAAGGGAACTATTGAGATGCACATGCATGTAATGAATAATGAAAAAGCTTGCAGTTGAAAACTTGCACCAAAACTCAAATATTAGTTATAAGAAGAGGAATATAGATTATCTGTTTTAATATTTGGCGTCTCATTATGTCACAATTCAATAAAAAATAGCAACTAATTAAGACAAATTTTTTTTTTGTTTTTATTACTTGGTAAAATATGTTTGTCTTGGTACATGGGGACAATAAATTTTGGGGACATGTGATCCTTGTTATAAGAAGAGGAAGAAAATTTTATATACCTCCAGCATTTTTGTGAAGAACAATAGTTGAGTGACATCAATGCAAAACTATAGGAATGGAAAGGGGAATGATAACTTAAATTGTAAATTGATACACTATTGAAAGTTGAAAAATAAGGGAAAAACTCTTAAGTAAGAATAAAATGTTTTCACTCTTGTAATAATATTATAATTTGTTTATAAATACAACTAGAGACTATTTACACACTTTTAAAATAAGAGAATATAATTTTTAGAAGAAACACTTTCTTCTTCTTATTCTTCTCAGGGTTGTGTTGGATTCTTTGACTAAAAATACTCTATTTATAGCTTCCAACCACTATGTCTCTATGGTCCAAATCCATCATTTAATAAAGAGTGGTTCCACATGTCAAAACATATTGGACCTAATACCATGGAGATGGATCTGTTATCCCGAATCTCGTCCCCAAACTTTGTTACGGTCTCAATAAGCAAATCCCACACCAATCAAAAAATGATATGTCAATTAAAAAAAGTAAACATTCATGATTTTTTCTATTTTTACTCCATTTTGATTAGTGCAGGACGGGTTTAGGGACTGAGTTCAGGACGGGCTTATGAACTGGGTTCGGGACAACACATCCTTAACCTAATACGAGAGGCACTAAATGTCAGGTAGTATCGAAACTCACGAGGCCTAAGATCTCAATCTATCCACCAAGGCTCAACATTAAAGTTCATAGTCTAATTTACATGGTATCTTATTATAAAGGAAAATGCTCCTAGAAGACATCTATATAAGAGCACTCATAGGCTCAAATATAGGTTTGTCAAACTAATTGGAATTAGGATCCTCTCACTCCAAATATTTATGTTCCTCTGTCCCAAACAAATCAAATCATACCAAATAATATAAAAAAATAACTTTTTGTTTATATGAATTTTCAGTGTCAATTTTCTATTGGACTGAGACACAATGACACATAGAATATGACACGTGTGATCTTCATTAGACTAATTGAAATGTCCGGAAGTCATGACGTCACTATACGATTCCTTCACTGCAAGGTAAGCCTATCTCCCTCAATATACATAGAAAGTATCTTCATCTCTCTAACTCCTCTCTACCCAAATCTCTATTTAGCATGTATCTTATGAATCTATCTAATGCATGTTTGTCTTAAAGTATGTCTCAAAGCACAAATAATGACATAGATAGTTGCCATTGTTGAACTAGAATGTGACCTGGGAACCTACAACCATCGGGGAGATCCATTGTTATCGAGGTATGGGAAGAGTGCAAAGCCACAAGTGATGCACCACGTCTTGAACCAAAACCTTAAAGTATTAGTTCTATGGACTTTGTCCACTTATAAACTTTTTTACTCTTCCCCACATATCCAATATGAGACTTCACACTTGAATAAACCCAACATCACTGACCTAATGCACTGTTTGTGTTCTTATAGTAAAACTCCTATCTTACTGTATTAAAACTAGAGTATATCATTCTCTAACAATAAAAGAAACGCTAAAAAATACTGCATACGTTTGTGTGCTTCTTTGTGTTGTAGTGGGGTAATCTTCCATAGGAATGAAAGGTCTCTATTCAGAAAGTTTGCAAATATTACATTGAATATGATGGTTTCTTCCAACTTCTAACCACCATCTTTCTAGATAGTATGATAAGATATGAGCGAAATAAACTCTTATCCGATCTATTCATGTTTAATGTGCAATGATGACATTAATACGACGGTAACAGTTAAAATAATGTCGTGGTGGAAATGGTAGATGTATGATCCGTAAATAATAGCACTTATCACACTAGGTGAATAGACTGATATTATAGCCCATCATAACCTAAAGTTCAACCCTACAAGGGGAGCTTATATTCTTTCTTAAAAAATAATGTGACACATTCATAAAAAATATATTTAATTATTAAGTTTTTAATTTAAATATATTTTTTTAATTAATTATAATAAATGATACATAGAGAGTCACATTTTTTATACATAATTATCAAAATCACACTATTGAAAAGTCGTCCTGATCTAAGCACCACCTTTACATTTTCAAGTCTAAACATTGTTTTTCAAATATAAAGTCTATGCCTTTATGCTTAATGCTTGGCTTTTGCCAAAGGCCCTTTTTATGTGGAGCCTTAAAATAAAATACCTTGAAAATTAGCTCACTATATATACTTTATAATCATTAAAGAAGCCAAAAAGTATACAATTACATAAGTTAATGAGTATATACGTTAATAGGCCAAAATTTCATCATTTTCTTCCCTAGACTATCTTTCATGTGATGGTGGAGTGACTAATTTCTTAGGACAGTTAGGTGTGGAAATCCTTGTTTTCTTTTTATTAATCATGAATTATAATCATTCTTATTTCTTAGAATAACCACAACAACAAAGAACTATTATTACATTACATAATTTAATAATTTTTTCTATAAATTAAGAATATCAACATTTTTCTAATAATGACAAACATCATTATTATTTTTATTTGGGACCCACAATTTACCTCACATTTTTATATTTGACAATAAATATAATCAAATATTAAAAAAATTGAGTGAATTTTAAAAAAAATGACCACAGTATAACATAAGAATATATTCTAAGAAGAAGCACATTAGCAAACAAGTAACATTCTTAAATTTTTAAGAACAGTAATTACTATTATGAGCCAATTCAATTGGTAAAATTATGAGATATGAATTATCAACATTCAAGTTCAAATTACGAAATTAAACTCACTTCCTCCTCTCATTATTAAAAAACATTTGACTAAAAAATAAAATAAGCAAGAATCTATGATCAAAATCATAATCACATATTTAAGGAACTCTAAGTCCCTTATACTTGCAAGTCTAAATAAGGCTTTCACAATATTATAAACTAAAATAGTTTTACTCTAAAATTCTATTTTCCCAATGTTAATAATAAGAATATAGTGTCAAAGTTGGTGAAGATTAATTAACACAAGAATATTCCTTTCACTTGTGATATTGAATTGCACATATTTTATTTATCTTAAGCTTTTGGTAGATTCATAAATTTGGATATTAAAGAAAAGACAGATTGATGAAATTTGAGTAATTGCATATGAAAAAATTTCAGGAAAGATAATGAAAACAAAGCTTAAATAGAGAAAAGGATGAGCATTAATTAATATTAAATATCTAGGTTTTTCCACATAAAAATAATAATTAAA